AAGAGAGAACTAAAAGCTGGAAAATTCCCCTGGTGGCTCGCCTGAGCAGTCTCCATGTGGGACTGTGCAAAAGACTGAAGATTCACAATACTTAGCAGTTTATTTTGTACCTTCTCTTACCTCCCCAAACATATGCCCATCACCCAGGTGTCTGAATGCAATGAACCAGCCCAAGTTCATCCCCTTTTCTAATACCTGCAAATCCTCCCTTGTACTGTTGGTCTGGAAAGCCAGAAATCAGGGCTCTCGGAACATGAGGAGGAGAGGGTGGGAGCCCTGAACTGAGGCTTGAATCAGAGGTTTAGGCTACTTCCAGGGTGGCTATCAGGAAATAGCACCAAAGCACCGGCAGGCCAGTACTGTTAGCCAAATTGCCTTGAATTCTCAATTAATCTAGGGGAAGTTGCCTACATATGCTGGAAGAAACTCCTAATGGAGTTTGCAGTTCTCCGTCCTTGTGTCTTTCCATGACATGGCGTACAGGCTTATGGAACTGCTTCATCTCACAGCAGGCAAGATGGCTGGTAACTCTTGTTGTGTCTTAACCATTGAAACACATTAAGCTTGAAACCTCAGCCAGATTCTAATCGGGAACAACACTATTGGCTGAAGCATGCCCAGTAACCAATCAAATGTAAGAGAACTGTGCTGGAGGGAACTGTGTTTATTGGTTTGTATCTCTGTAATACGATTGGACCTAAACTATGTGAGGGTGTGGCTACACCAGCCCGGGAGAGTTTAAAAGGAGCTATGTTCCACTGTTGTTGTGTGTGTGTTGTCGTGTCGTTTGATGCTGTGTGATCTTTGGAAGTTCTCGTTCTCAATAAAAGCTGATTCACTTTGTTACTTACTTTGTTGTTGAGTTGCATACTTAACAACTCTGGAATACTTCTGGAGCAGCAACACTAAAGGAAGGTGTCCCTCTTTCAGGTGTGCAGTCTCAACAGGTATTCCCAGGTCTCCATGTTGTACAGTCCCTTTGCACAGTCCATACAGTTCATAAAAACACATTGATAGGCTTGCATGGCAACAGTACATAGACATTACTTTGGCCTCTTCCACAGGTGTGCCTCGTGTTGTGACAGGCAAGTGTGGGGCTTAGTTCTCAGTCGTAAAATCAGTATGTACCACCAGAGCACAGGGTTGTGTGACTGTTTTCCTGCTGTTTTTGAAAATATCTGTGCTTGCTTCTGCTACCCAAACCCATCATACTAAGTGCATTTCTTCTGTAGATGCTGTAGATTCCTGAACAAATTATGCTGATAAATGAGGACAATCGGGGTTTTAACAAAAAGGAAAAAAATATTTAACAAAAATAATGTTCAAGTATTTGTGACGCATAGCTTTGAGGAAATCAGCTTTGGTCCTCCTTTTGATACTCAGTGTTCACACTTTGTAGACAATGTTTGTGAACTTTTGTCCTGCATTTAATTGATATCTGCATGTTCAAGTCCAACTGTTTGCCCTGAAGTTTAGGTGTATTTTCAGTTCAGTCCAAAAGGCACACTCATTGCATCACCAAGCTCAGTGTCTCTACCTACATTTTAAAATATGTTCCCATAATGGGAAGATTTTCCTAGTAGCTATAACTTGATGTGTAAATTTTTAAAAATTAAGTAAATCTATACAAATCCTATCAGTATTAAAATTCAGATGAAATGCAGCCCGTGCTGGTTTTGCAAAATAGACTGCCAGCTCAGTGGTTCCTCTTGCAAAGACAAAGGTAGGCTTGATTTCAACAGTAAGTTCTCCAAAGTAGAGAAATTCATAAAAATTTCAAAAAGGAACAGGAGATATCATATTAATCCCAAACAAATGTCAAGTGCTCTTAAAGCAACCTACGCAGCTTAGGTTCCACTTGCATTGCATCAGAACTTTCAAGGTTAACCAAAAGAAGACAAATTCATTTTCAAGACTAAGCTATAGAGGTATTTACAATAGTCATGCAATCCTCTCTCTAAAGACAACTGAAAGCCTGACTGAGCATTTTCTAGGATCAGTTAAAACCATCTCATGTGACAGGAGAAAAGAGTAAGAGTGCAGCAGCACCTTAAAAGCAAAATTTGTGGTAGGTTATGAGCTTTTGTGAGTCACTGAGGTGAGCAGTGACTCACACAAACGCTCATCCTCTGCCACAAATTATGTTAGTCTAAGGTGCTGCTGGAGTCCTTTCTACTGCTACAGACAGACTAACATAGATACCATGGATACCCATCTTGATCCATCTCAAGTGAAATGATCTTTAATGGTCAGGTTTATAGAACTATGGGACCTTGCGGGTCATCTAGTCCCACCCCCTGCACTCTGCAGTAACGTAGCTGAAAGACAGCCCTACAACCTATCCAAAAGATGGTTGTCCAGCCTCCGCTTGAAAAAGCAAACACTGGATGATAAACATTTATTGTATCTTAAAGATAAACAAGATTTTATTCCAGGATAAGTTTGGGACTTGCTTGCAGGGTTCCACAATGCTTAGTCCTATCCCCCATGCTATTTGATCTCTACATAAAGTACTTAGGAGAAATCATTTGCAGTTTTGGAATAGGCTGTCATCAATAGGCTTTATATTTCTAGCTCCAACGTGCCTGGTAATTCTAGAAAGATCTTGAACCACTGTCTTACTGCTAATTGGCTAAAAAGGTAAACGGTTTCCCTTGCTCAAAAGCTAGTCAAATCTGACTATAGGGGGCAGTGCTCATCTCCGTTTCCAAGCCGAAGAGCCAGTGCTCTTCTCCATGGTCACATGGCTGGTGTGACTAAATGCTGAGGCGCACGGAATGCTGTTACCTTCCCATCGAACTGTTACCTACTTATCTATTTGCAATATCTTGCTTTCGAACTGCTAGGTTGCCAAGAGCTGGGAGCTCACTCCATCACGTGGCACTAGGTTCTTGAACTGCTGAGCTACAGACCTTCCAGTCTGCAGCTCAGTGTCTTAACCTCTAAGCTATGGGTGAACAAATGGAAACTGAATCCTGAAAAAAACAAGTTAATGCTAGTTGGGATGGTTGAGGTATTGAAGGTTCACTGCTCACTTCTGATGGAGTCCAGCTTCTTCTCTCTGACTCGGTTAAGAGGCTAGCGGTTATACTACACCCAGTATTATTACTAGGGGTGTGCAAAGAAAAAATATTTGGTATCCCCCAATATTTTTGAATATTGGATTCTGCTGCTGACCACTAACAGTGTACTGCTTCTGCTGTCCTTCCAGAAATGCCACTTCTCAGTTTGTACTTGAGATTCTCAGTTGACCTTAGGGAGAATCTCTTCTCTACTGTGCTTGTGCTATTTTCCCATCCATTGGAAACAGTGGTAGGATGGTGGCACCCTCTTTGGGTGTGTAATGATTTAATGTTTTGGTGTGTGTGTTTCTTTAGTTTGACTGCAGTAATGTAAAGAATGAGAGGGAGATGAGTGTGATGTGATTGGCTGATGACAGAGTGTGGGAGGAGAGATGTCACTGAGGTGATTCTGTGTTTGTAGAGAGACGAGTGTGGAGTTTTGGTGAGTCTGTATAACAGAGGAAGCTGTTGGAGTCTAGTCTGTGTGGCTATATAAAAGAGATTAGCCTGTGTGGCTATATATGAGAGAGAGATAAGCCTGTTAGAGTTGAGTTTCGGTGTTTGAGCTTTGTCAATTATATTTTCTTTCTTCGACAACAGTTCAAAAATACCCAGACACCTATTTTGTTCTTTTATAAATCATTATTTGTTTAAACTTATCCCAGCAATCAGAACAGTCCTTCCTCAGGGCCACATAGTCCTCTGAAATGCCCAGACACTAGGTCATTCTACCAAGTTCATGTACACAGTGTGTTTTAAAGGAGAAACAGTCTCCCCAATAAGCAAGGATCTTACAGGGTGCCCCTTGGATTAGAACCCCAGTCCAATATTTGAGACTTGAGGGTTCTTTTGGGGAGAGGCTCCTGTAGCTACACTGCAAATGTGGTGCCTCTACCTCAGCCCCCTCCTCCCCGGCCCCTGAATATACCCCAGGAGAGATTTGCTGTTGACTACAATAGCCCCATAGAGTCTAATGGAGCCAAATAGATTCAGGAATCCAGAATATATTCAGGATTCTCTATTCAGCTGTGAATACACACTGGAGAATCACATTTGGCTGAATATATGCCCAAATAATACTGATAAGGCCTTATTCAGGTATATATTTGCCTTGGCTTCTACGAAAGGCACACCCCTAATTATTAGTGGTGAAGCAAGCCAATGCAGCTGCAAATAAAGCAAGTCACCTAGCCCACTTAACTTGGCCAGTTTGGCCATCTGGATCCATGCAATGACTGTCTCAAGGCTAGGCAGTCTGCCCTTGAAGTCAGCATTCAGTACAGAATGTGGCAGCCCGATTCCTAGAGGGTGCCAGGCAGAACATACATGTTACACCCATCCTGCAGTTGCTCCATTGGCCACTGATCAGTTTCTGCGCTCAATTCAAGGTATTGGTTATCATCTACATAGCCCTTCATGGTCTAAGATTCTGTAGCTGTGGGACCGCTGGTTCTACTATGCTCTGCTGTGGCAGCTTCAGTTGTCTGAACAGAACCTTTTGAAGGGTTCTCATGTGACTCCCACAGTGCTATCATTGCAAAACGTGCAGAACAGAAATGTTCAAGAAGACATTTTTGCAATGGATTAGGACTGCAGTGGGACAGAATGGTCCAGAAGGGGTCCTTCATAAGGAAGTGGGGGCCTCATTGCCTTGTACCTTTGTAACCCCGCATTCTGCACTGCTCACACTATCACTGCCTGGGCATTTTGCTGTTCACACTGTAATTCAATTACCTATACTGTATGATTAACCCCCTCTTTCCATGCTCTGTTACTGGCCTTCAGTAAAAAAGGTGAGCTATGAATGAGCCAAATAAATAGATATCACTGATTAAACTAGACTCCAGGTTTTTGCTGCAACAGATTAACATGTCTACCTCCCTGGAATTAAAAAGAAATCAATCCACCCAATATAAAAAAGAAGCAGCAAGCCTCCAACTGTTCTTATCGTAAACATTTATTTAGACGCTAGCATTGTAGTAAACAAACAGAACTTCAGATTTTCCCTCTTGCATTTGGACTCTGTCAAAGTGAGAAATAGCAGCAGCTACGAACACTGTTGAAGATGAGTGGAGGAATCGGTTTTCAGCAACTGTCAGCTAACTGCTCTTAAAAGGCAAAAATATATACACTCTAATTCACAAAAACCATTTAATGCACTACAGTTGCTCCAAGTGGGGTAACGGTGGACAAATCAACATTATGTAAACTGCAGACTCCACAAAATTGAGCCACCTTTGCCTCTCCATCATTCCTTTTTGCTTCCAGTTTACATTTTGGGATCTGCCACTTGCACAGATACAGAAGCGCTGTGGTGGCTGCTTTAAGGGCTGGATGTGCAGGAACGTCCTAGGGAAGAGGTTCTTACTCGTCTCAGGCTCTAGCTGTTAAACGTTACTCAGAGCAGCTACTCCAGGAAGAACTTTACCTGCAGGCAGTTTAAAAGCACACAAAAGTCAGCTCGTTGTTTACCTTAAAACACATCTTGCATAATCTCAAACTTTAATTGCTAGCACTATTACATTTTCAGGCCAAATTTGTCACAATTACTCACAAGGTAATTTATAACAAAACCCAAGAAAATTCAAGTCCCAAAACATCAACAGGCAAACCGCGTAACCAAACAGCAACAAGGGGCAATCAGAATGAACCATATGTGAACAAACTTGCTTGATGTAATCTCTGAAGGGACAGTGACAAAAATTCCTGAAGTTAAGAAAAACTAAGGATGGTCGCTACTTTCCCCCCAAAACCGTAAGCTATCATAGACCTCCCTTTAAGCAGTTTTCATTCTCTCTTTTCAGCATTATTTCCTAGACAATGGAGACAAAGGTCCCTGTCAAGTATACAACTCCTGGAAAGAACAGTTGCAGGGTACTTCAGTTCAACTTCTTTTTCAGAGAATACATTATAAAATGGGAAGATTTACAGAGATTGGGAAATGGCTAGTTATCAAAGGAAGCTAAAGACATTCACAGTACAATACAGCCCATGAAAAACCACCCATAAATTCTCATTGCTTTAAAATGCAAGTCTTTGCAGATACCGAACAGTGACTGCTAGAGGAAATGTCAAATATTATGGCCCTTCGCACTCTGTAAGTACAACCCCCACGTGAAGGCACCGATTCTCATCTGCTTTCAGCCCCAAGGCACTTGTGTCAAGGCTGCACTCAAGATGAACTGCCTAGGCGAGGTAGGCAAAAGCATGCAAATTAGGACTTTTTTTTTTTTTTTTACAGAGCCCTGTCTAAGAAAGGAAAAATAGACTACCTTCTAGAAGTTCCAAGCTGGCACCACCACCAGTGCTCACGTGACTAACTTTATCTTCAGTGTTCCATTTGGCACAGCATGTAGCGGTGTCTCCCCCACCTGTTCAGCAAAACAAATTGGATATCTTTAGGAGAGTAGTATATACATAATTAACAAAATACTGATACCGGCAAAACCTAGATTGCTTTGTGGAACACATGAGGAGAAAAATTAGCTTATCACCAGAAGAAAAAAAAAAGAACTTTCATTTGAAATAGAGAAAAGACCAAGATTTCTTTCAGCTACTCAAATCAACAAAGGAAAGGAAATGGCAGATCAGTTCTTACCAATGATGGTGATACAGCCTTTTCCTGTAACTTCAACAACTTTATCCATCAAGGCCTTGGTTCCTTTGGCAAACTTGTCCCACTCAAACACACCAACAGGGCCATTCCAAACAATCTGCTTGGCTCTGCCCACAGCTTCAACAAACTGCTTGATGCTTTCAGGACCACAGTCCAAACCCTAAAGCCAGAAAGGGGGGAAATAGGCTGTTTAACCCTTTCACCTAAACACTGAGAGAAGACAGTATTGCAAAACCTCCCCTCTGAACAGAGCTTCGCCCTTCAAACTACCATCCATCCAGCAGGAATCCCAGAGGCCACAGTGGCTTCGCCTGTTTTGGCATTCTCATCAAATTTATCTGCAGTGACAAAGTCAATGGGCAAAGTGATTCGCACTTTATTCTTCTCTGCCTTCGACATCAAGTCCTTGACTATTTTTGACCCTTCTTCATCAAACAGAGAATTGCCAATCTGAAAACAGAAGAGAATGCATTATTACAGCTACTGCACATTTGCTTATCCAGGCTGCTAAACAACCCAAAACTTCAAAAACAAGACCTGAATCAGGTATATCCCTTCCCCTTTTAAATGAGTAACAAATCCTTGTGGGCAGATGGTCAGTGTACGACTACAGAACTCCACTTTCAGCCTGATTTCTGAAAATTCTAGTGAAAGGCCAAGGAATTACAAATTACTTCAAAGACAACCAGATGAATTTCATAACCCATAAACAACACACAATTCTTAAATATACATCCATATCTTGCATATTTTCAGGTTGGAAACTTGTTTCAGTACAACCCATATATGCCAAAAGCCCATATTAAAATGTATCATTTAAGAGGACAACTGACATTATACAAAGGGAATCTTTCATGTCCATCAAACCTGTACCCAAAGAGTGGACACTGTGGGCTGCTTACCTCCATGTTATTGAGCACTTTGAGGAAGGTGAAAGCCATTCCACCTCCAATGATCATCTCATTGACCTGATCCAGCATGTTATTGATCAGCTGAATCTTATCCTGAACCTTTGCTCTGATGAAAAAAGGGTGGAAAGAGAGAACCATTTAAATGAATAACAGATACAGTTGTAGAATGTTCAAGACTATTATGAAATGCAGTGCAGGCTTGTTAATTTCGGAACTGCATCTTCTCTTGTAATTACTACTAATATATACAGGATTACAAAGACGACATGTATCTTGATGATAATGTACCAATCTCCACTAAATGCAGAATGCGAGATAAAACTGTAAGAAGTTGTCTAATAAAACAGAACTCTCTCCTCTCCTTACCCAGAAAACTGTAAATATTAACAAGATCTAGGCTATCCTTCAATCTGAGGCAAGACTGCAGGTCCACCTATATTTACCACATGCAATCTTTTATACACTAAACTTTACTGCATTTGGTGTTTTATGAATAATCCTCTTTTGCTTTTTTGATCAAATTCTGGTTCTTGCAATGATTGAGTATACATATCCTGCAATTTTTTTTAAAGCTCACATAATTGTGATTTCAAATCTAAACAATTTTGGCTTTAGGATGATTTAGAATGGCAAAAACAAAATGTTTAAAATGGCAGCTATATATCTAATCTAATCTTTATTTGTTACCGTACCAAGCCAGCAAATAAGTAACATCATACAAAACTGATATAAACAATTTGTTAAAATACAAGTATACAAATATAAAAACCATGGTCTAAAAGATTTGAGGGGTTAAATAACCTTTTCTTTGCGGATATAGTATTAACTGCACAGAATTTAGCTATAACTTTGGTAATGGTCTGATTTGACTGTGTGGATCACAACAAACTATGGCAGGTCCTTAAAGAGATGGGAGTACCAGACCACCTCACATGTCTCTTGAGAAACCTGTATAAGGGCCAAGAAGCGACTGTTAGAACCAGATATGGAACAACTGATTGGTTCAGCATAGGAAAAGGAGTACAACAAGGATGTATATTGTCACCTTGCTTATTTAATATATATGCAGAGTACATCCTGCAAAATGCCCGCATGGATGAATCACAAGCAAGAGAGTACCAGAAAAACATCTACTTTTGCTTCATTGACTACGCTAAAGCCTTTGATTGTGTGGACCAATCACAAGCCGGAATTAAGATTGCTGGGGAAAAGATCAACAACCTCAGATATGCAGATGATACCACTCTAATGGCAGAAAGGGAAGAGGACCTAAACAGCCTCTTGCTCAGGGTAAAAGAGGAGAGTGCAAAAGTGGGCTTGAAGCTCAACATAAAAAAAAAACTAAGAACATGGCATCCGGCCCCATCACTCCTTGGCAAATAGAAGGGGAAGTCGTGGAAGTAGTGACAGACTTCACGTTCCTGGGATCCCAGATCACCGCAGACTGTGACAGCAGCCATGAAATTAAAAGACGCCTGCTCCTTGGGAGGAAAGCGATGGCGAACCTAAACAGCTTGATAAAAAGTAGCGACATCACCCTGCCAACAAAAGTCCGCATGGTCAAAGCAATGGTATTCCCAGTAGTCATGTATGGCTGCGAGAGTTGGACTATAAGGAAGGCCGAGCGCCGAAGAATAGATTCTTTTGAACTATGGTGCTGGAGAAGACTCTTGAGAGTCCCTTGGACTGCAAGAAGATCAAATCAGTCAATCCTCAAAGAAATCAACCCTGACTGTTCCCTGGAAGGCCAGATAATGAAACTGAAGCTCAAATACTTTGGCCACCAAATGAGAAGGGAGCACTCACTGGAGAAGACCCTGATGCTGGGAAAGATTGAAGGTCAAAGAAGACGGGGACGGCAAAGGATGAGATGGTTAGACAGTGTCATCGATGCAACGAACATGAAATTGAGCAAACTTCAGAGGACAGCGGAAGACAGGAGGTCCTGGCGGGAGCTGGTCCATGGGGTCGCGAAGAGTCGGACTCGACTGTGCGACTGAACAACAACAACAACAATAAGTAATTGACAGAGTCAGAGTCCATCAGGCCAGGCATTTCCTTTACCAAAGGGAAGATATATTTGGCTTGAACCAACTTGTACCATGGGCACCTGAGAAGCACATGTTCAATAGTTTCGACTTCTCCCAAATCACATTGACAAAGTCTCTGGTCAAAAGGTATCTTCCTGTATCTCCCCTCACGGACAGCCGAGTGAAGAGCCGAGCATCTAGTTAAGGTGAAAGCTCTTCTCATCTTGTGATCATCTAAGTTGGAAAGGTAATTAGGAGGGAGAAGTTGGTACCTGCTTAGCTCAGACACTATACAGGCTGGGCACCTGGCGAGGTCAAGCTGTCTCTCTGGGTCCATTATTCTCTGTTTCAGCATTATCTTGGCCTGTTCCCTACCAAAGGCCAGAACTGCTTGGGGAGAAAGTCCCAGAAGATTTAGTTTCTTAAGGACCGCCCACAGCCATTTAGATTGAAAGTTATCAGCTGCATTAAACCCTGTGGGTAAAAGTTGATGGTGAGCCAATATCTAGGTGATGCCAGGGTAACTCTAGCTCCTACAGTCACTGAGCCAGTTTCCAGTCTGATCATGGCATCAGGCACACCTCTCGGGACCTGGACGGCAGCCCTTGAGAATTTAGTCTGGGTCCATTCGAGAGGGAGAAAGCATGAAGATGGAGGGCAGCTATATAATATGTGAGAAGAAAAAATATATATATTTAGGGATGAAACTACAATTACAGCATGCTAGGAGCTAGAACCAGAAGCCAACATCCTGTCCAATATTAATATGGCTCCCTCCTATTTTATATGTGAAGTGATTTACTCAAGGTCAATAACAAACATTAGCAGCAAGGGAGAAAACAAGCAAGCAGGCAGGACACTCAGGCTGAAACCATCCGGGGCATCGTGCTGCCCCCTGGTGCCCAGTCTGTTGTCTGTTTCAGACAAACCCGTCCAGGACGTCACCACCTACACAAGTCGAAATGTTGCCCACCACTACAGACAATGGGTTGAGCAAATGTCCACCTTCACTTGGTGCCAGACATTTCAGTCACCCTGTTCACTCAAGCCTGAGAAATTGAGGGAGGCCAGAATCCAAGGATACGCCATTCCACCAATTCACACGCTGAAATAATCATCCTACAAACAATGCCACCAAAAAAAATCTATTTTTCCTCTGAGAGCAAATTACTTAAAAAGAGAAGATTGTTTTACAATGTTCCAGAGCCACTAGCCCCCACTATCTATGGCTATGTAATTCCCTTACAGAGAGGCCTTTCACTTACTATCAAAAACTGGCTTTAATAGTAAGCTTCTGCCATCAAAGCAACTCAAGGCTTTGTAGCAGATATACCAACCTCAAAAATCTGACTGGAACAATCTGGAGGGCCACTCTACCTGAGAAGCAATGCTCAACAAGAACAAACAATTCTATTGCACAACAGTTCCTGAAAGCACACAATGCTGCATGAGGACTGGGATTTTCTGATAACTAGAATTGCTACAGAACACCAGGCTATTTCTAGCACAGCCTTTTCAACAGCATAAATAGAGCTTTCTAAACACATTTCTTTTTAAATAGGATGTTTGGAGGAAGGCATTACTATTGTTTGGAGGGGAATCCAGACAAAGCCAGCAAGTTTTACACACAAATTTCGTTCTGTATCTACAGAGGTGCTGTTATCTGTATTACAGGCGGTTAGTAAATGTATTGAGATCACATAGTATGTTCATTGGCTAAGATGAGATGTGAACTAGGAAGTTTTCTGGTCTCACTATGTTACTTGCAGGCATTATACTATGCCAGTTTTCACCATCTGAGGCAGAACAGTTACAAGTCTGATAAAGGTTCTGATAAAGGAACCTCAGCATACATAAAAGACACTGCTGTAAAAACAGCAGAAAGCAGTAAGGAGCTTCTATTGTCCATAATGCAGTACTTTCTACAGGAAAGTGGTAAAAGCCTTGCTGGGTGCATGAAGTTAGGCACATATGTTTCCAGGCCACAGACATTTAATGCCCTAGTACATGCAGCAATAGAAAAAGTGGCTATGCAGCATAACTAGAAAACAATTCGGCCCAGTACTTGTACAGTGTGGAATACTGAATGTTTAACAGCTTTTCCCCCCAATGGACAAGGAGTAAAAGCACCCCTCTTTTACCAACAAATCAATACCAGGGAAGGCTGCATCTGCATGTCGGGGAAAAAGTCTTCCATGAAAGTTGCAGCAGTTGATATATATTCATTAGGTATCTATTAGGTATCAGTTGCAAAACATTAGACAGGGTTAGCTTACAGACAACTGCTGGGAAGAGACTGTATCTGTACTCTGGTGAAAATTCAGAAAGATCTGGCCTCTAACTCAAAGTACGCTAATAAAGCTGGGGACAGCTTTAAACAAAACAAAACACATTGACTGAATGGATATAGCTGTAAGGCTCCACAGCCAAACAATTGAGTACACGCTTATCATAAGGTTATACTTTATTGCCAGAGCTATAGAGGCAGTAACATCATCACTGTTAGAATGGCTACAGTCCTACAAGCATAATGGGATATAGGGTATTCGTATGCACACACCCCAATCCCTAGGCCAATCGGCCTGGCCTGACTCCCGTGCGCTGGAGAATGGGACCCCAGGCAACTAGTCCCACGGGTAATAGATGGGAAGACACTACACAGGCAGCAGCTAGCTAACAAGGTCATAGATAAGCAAGGCAAAGGAATGCGGCATCAGTTGGTACACAGGTCAAGCAAATGCACTCCTGCCCATAAACATCATGGCAGCATAGCTGACAATAGCCTTGGAGATTTAAAGGAGTATTTGCCTCTAAAGAGGAAGAGCTCAATAATTCCTACCACAAACTGATCAGTTGTTAAAACAAGTAAACTCAACCTCAGCTGCTTTGTATCTTTTATTCTATGATAAAGATCCTAAAATTACTTTAGCAGTGGCCACTTTTTTCAGTCCTTTCATACATTGTTGTAGCTCTTCCTGCCACTCAAGAGCATTGTCTCATGGAGCTTCAGTGGGGGAAAGGAAAACAAGCAAACTGTTCAAATAAATTGATAAAACCAACAAGAGGTAGTGGAAGAAAAAATGACAGGATGCTTACCCTCCAAGGATTGCCAGGAATGGACGTTCTGGACTCTCAAGAGCTTTAGCGAAGTAATCCAGTTCTTTCTTCATCAGGAAACCAGCAGCTTTCTGTGGCAGATTGACACCAACCATAGAACTGTTGCATTGGAGGAGGGGGGAAAAAACCACTATTTTTTAATCTTGCTTTTTTGAATCTACTAGAGATCAACTGCCACAAAACTTTTGAAGCCTACAAATATTGACACTGAAAACACACCTCAGCAATAGAGGTCATGGTACTTTAGTGGTTCACAGATGTCTTTCAGATCTGACAATTCACTAGATACTTTTTAAAAATACTTGTGGGTGTAATCTTCAGCCAAGAATTAGAAAAGTCAATCCCCCGTTTCCAGAGAGCTTTCCTTCATTAAAATATCTATTTTGGGGAATGTCAGTTCAAAGGTATTCCCGTAACTTGGCAGAGGAAAAGATTTAAAACAACATGGAAGATATGACTACTTATACTCACTACCTAACAGGCTAAAATATTTGCAGGAGTCTTAACTTGGAGAGCATCGACTCATCTTCCTTATTATTGTGTGTTCTTACAGAGAAAGACACCTTGAAGCCTCAGGTCATTTACTAACCTGAGTTGCCACAGATTATACTCTACCAGAGGGATTACCTTTCTAAAACTCAGAAGTACTCAAAGAGAACAATCACAGTAACTTATTACAAATTCTGATACAGGCCTTACTCTATTTCCAAGGCAGCAAAGAGTGACTCCGAGATGCACGAAAGCCTAGCCAAGACGTCCTAATGATAGCCGCTACACACCTGTGAGCTCTGTGTGCAGTTCCAAAAGCATCGTTGACATAAACATCTCCTAGTTTAGAAAGTGAGGCCCTGAAAGCATCCACCTTGGCAGAATCGGCCTTGATCTGGAAAGCAAAAAAAAAAAAAAGATAACTAGTTAGTCACAGCCACTTCACTATTTCATTAGTGAAGAGGCATTAAAATTACCAGATCAGTTGCTGTGTGAAATAAACTGTTCATAAACATTTCCAGAAGAAAAGCAACACACCACATTTCCAGCAACACACCACATTTGTTACCCCAGGAATTAGAAAGCCTCTCTTCAAACTTTGCCAACTTGTATTCTACTTGATCTGAACAATGGCATCAAGGAGGCCGAGTCAAAGAATATAGACTTCCGATAAGGGGAGAGTTTTTCCAAGAGAATGTTTCTGTCCATAAATGCATAACTGGGACAAACATATATGGGCATAAAACGCATTATACAAGGCACAAATGCACAGCTCAGCCCTGTTGCGTTCTCCTTTATGGAAACGGATCCATTATAAATACTATCATGATTATATAGTACCATGATTTAGTCTCCTCAGTTGAAGACCTTTGTACAGATCTTTAAGTGCTTCAATGATACTCAATAACAGCTAGAAGTAGGGATGCACTGTCAATTAAAAAAAAAGGTCAAGATTCTCCAATTTTTGTTCACAACGGCAACCAGCAAAGTAACAAACCTTGCTGTATCTGCTGCATTTTTCGCCACTTGCTATGGAATAGTTTTTGTACCAGGCCAGCTATTTTACTTTTCTCTATAGCCAATAATAAGTAACGTACAGCCACTAACAGCAGCCGACAATTCAAGTCAAGACTTGTGAAGATGAAAACCAAGAGTAAAAACATAATTTTTCTGCCAGACTGTTGCATGTTTTCTCAAGAAAAAAAGAGAAATATGCTGAATGTACTTTCTTACTGAAGCTTTTTTATTGCCTTTTATCAACATAAACATGGATAGTTTTAACTATGTGGCATCTTTATGAATTTAAAAGTTTAAATGGCTTAGCTTTCTACAAGTAAAATCAAGGTTTTTTAGGAAAAACAGGTGCCTGAACTCTCAAGACGGAAATGAAGTTTTTGATTTGCACACTGAAAACTCATGAACTTCTAAACATTTTAAAAAGAGTTTTGTCAAAGAGTTTCCAGAACTCTTTTCCAGGCCCGGGTAAATCTCAAAATATATGCAATACTAGAAAGAGAGCAAGACAGAGCTGAAAACTGCTATACTCTATGCTATCATAGCACGCACCTTAGTTTTGCCATTTCAGAGGAAGGAAAAAAACAAAATTTGAAGGCATACATGAAAATTCTGTAACAAACAGAAGGAATTTGGACATAAACATTTAAAAGCCTCAATAGGGATAGTAGCATACTTGATACTGAGGCAGACATTGAACTGAACAGTTTATCATCATACACTTAGACATTAATTGTGGACAAACCTTGACAGCACTTTACACACACATGTACATATGCTGGATTCTTTTCAAATGGAATGACAAGTAAAGTAACAGGTTATGGCAAAGTATTTACACTGGAACTTGGGAGTTCAGATACTCCTCCTCCTTCCTTCAGAAGTTCACTTGCATGGTCTGCTGTATTTTTATAGCACTATGTGGTGTTCTGTGTCAGCCTGTGAAAGGGCACCATACTGTATATCAGCGTTTCACACTGTGGTTGTATTTAAGGGAGCCAAGGCTGGAGGCTTAATGGGGTCACAGATGCTAAGAAAAGAAACCACTTGGGAGCAAGTGTTCTTGCTGACCTTCAAGGAAATGTCAGAGGTACAAGTTGGTATGGACTAATATAATTGACTCAAGAGAAAGTGACTTGTGTGTTTCAAGCGTTTGTAAGTCTCAGTACAGGATGTGAACCTCCCACCAGCACACACCACATTTAGCCAATCATAACGGATGTGGTGCTTGCTGAAGTCCCAAGCAGAACGCATTCTCTCCCCAAATACATTTCCTTCCAGAATGGCGTACACCACAGTGAATTTCCATGGAGCGACCTCACTCTCCCCCTACCTCTGAACTTTCTTTTGTAAGAGGACACAAGTCAGCATGCTTTGATCCAAATTTACCTGCACTATCCTAGGAATATAGTCATCAGCTACAAATGGCAGCATTCAATTTATATGAAATATCTGTACATCAGGCTTCCAAGCATGCCATCATGCCAGCTGTCACCCCTCTTCTCCCCTGCACTTGGTCCTCCTGTGTGTGTGTGGTTCTGCTTTCTGTGACAGCCGTTTTGTGGTTGTGCCCACCAAACCTGTGTCAACATTCCAAGGTGTCCACAAGCTCAAAAAGGTTGGGGATCCCTCTACTAAGGTAAATTGCAGCAGCTGATAAGAGGAATGATAGATGTGTAGGAACACTGATCTCTGTGGAACTAAGAGTTAAAGCTGATTTCCTACTTCAAACAAATATGTCATTACTGTATTAATTTATTTCTTCATTTCAAGGAGAAGCACTGAAAATCTTTTGTTCCAGCTATATAAACCTGTGTTTAAAAAATATCAGCCAAAAAAGGCCACTAAACTACCAAGAGTTAATGTATCTGTCTACCTTATATATGTCCCATGGTAGGTCACTCCATAGTCGTGGCTGCCTGCAAGTCCATTTCAGTAACTCAGCACTACATTGGACAATATGGGATGTTCTTACCATCCTACACATAACCATTTTCATAACAGATTTATAGCAGGATTAAAAACTATGAGCCATTGCTCACTTTTTACTATTCACAGTGCAGTTTGGAAAAAGCAAGAAGCACACTCTAGAGAAATAGAACAAAGTTTGAGTCCAGTGGCACCTTTAAAACCAACAAAGTTTAATTCTGGGTCTAAGCTTACATGTGCGCAAAGGGTGCATGAATATGACAGCTTATAGGTAAAGGTAAAGGTTTCCCTTGCTCGAAAGCCATTTGAATCCGACTCTAGGGTTGTGGTGCTCATCTCCGTTTCAAAGCCGAAAAGCCAGCGCTGTCCGAAGACGTTTCCGTGGTCATGTGGCCGGCATGACTAAATGCCAAGGCACACGGAACGCTGTTACCTTCCCACCGAAGTGGTACCTATTTATCTACTTGCAATTTCTTGCTTTCGAACTGCTAGGTTGGCAGGAGCTGGAACTAGAGATGGGAGCTCACGCCATCATGCGGCACCCAGGTCTCGAACTGCTGAACTACTGACCTTCCACAGCCTGCAGTTCAGCGTCTTAACCACTTGAGCCACCGCAGCTCCTTATGACAGCTTACACCAGGAATTAAACTTGGCTGGTCTTAAAGGTGCTGCTGGACTCAAACTTTGTTCTGTTGCTTCAGACCAACACGCCGACCCCACCTGAATCTAGTCTGCCGAAATGTAACAGAGAAAATGTTACACAAGAGGGGGAAAAGTCTCTCACCTTGTTCCCTGAAGCATCCTTCCCTTTCCCTTCCTCTTCTACGTGGAACCTGAGGTTCTCCAGGAGAATGACTGAACCAGCTGGAGGATCAGCACAGGCCTTTTCCACCTCTGGACCTACACAGTCTTTTAGGAACAAGATGTCCCTGGAGACATGATCGAAAATATAAAGCTTACATTTGCCACTAACAAGGATAAGTCACTGCACACTAATTTATAGTAACAACCACAAGGCCGTACCTGCCTAGTAATGCTTTGAGTTCCGCTACCACTGGCTCCAAAGAGAATTTGTCAGGCATAGGAACTCCATCAGGTCGCCCAAGGTGACTCATCAGTACCACAGACTTGGCTCCATGGTCCAAACAATGCTTGATGGATGGGACTGCTGCCTTGATTCTGCAACAAAAGTAACTTCCTGTGAGAGAGGTGTCTCCCATGATACCCATGCTGTACACTAAAAGAGCAAAGCTCTAAAAGCAGACGTTATACACAACTACTAAAGTCACGGATCTATTAATTATTAAGTCAAGGTATCATCAATTACTATGGTAACAGTTTCATTCTCACTTTGCCAAAGGAAGGAGATGGGACAAAAATCTGCTAGAGAGACACAGTTCACTTAACTTTCTCTAAAATCCACTCAGGTTATTACCTGCCACCCACCCCATGTAGTGGGAAGTCCAGCGCAAGCACAGCTAAACTATCATTACAACGAAATGTGGATAAAAGGATACAAGGCGGCATCTTACAAATTAAATCAATCTGATGTCACACCTTGAATACATGACCTAGCCATAGCAGCTCAGCTTTTAGCTGGAGATTCCAAGGTCAAATCGAACACCTTACAATAACAAACTGTGTTCTTCCACGAAGTTGCAGCCCACTGGGGAGGAGGGGCTGATAACCTCCAACTCCAGTTCACTATTCTATAGTGCTCACCTTTGGTTGTTGGTTATTTTGTTGTTCTTCATCGGGACATTGAAATCAACCCTGAGGGAGGAAAAACACATAAGCAAATTTTTAAAAATACATTTCTCTGCTCCCTCTGTTGGGAACCATTGTTAAAGACTAGTAGTAAGCTGCGTCAGTTATATGGGTAGGGGAGCGGGCAAAAATCATGCAACACCCAATCATCACCCACTGTTGGACTGGTACAGCCCTCACAAGGCTTCCCGATATGTGCAGAAAGGCCTGTCCAACCAGTTCCATCCCTCGATCATGCCTGCATCTTTCCGAGCCAGCATCAGGGATCAACAAAAACAAATTGCACTGGATCCACTAGCTGTATTCACTGGTAAAGAGGGGAGCCAGGTCATCTGCTTATCATTTTCAGAATCTGGTTGAAGGAAATGCTCATGAGCAAGGCTAAGCCAGTTTGGTGTAATGGTTAAGTGCGCGGACTCTAATCTGGGAGAACCGGGTTTGATTCCCCACTCCTCCACTTGCACCTGGCTGGATGACCTTGGGCAAACCGTAGTTCTGATAAGAGCTGTTCTTGAAAAAGAGCAGTGTCTGTCAAGAGCTCTCTCAGCCCCACCTTTGGGTAGTGAAGGGCGGGGTATACATCCAATCTCTTCTTCTTCTAAGCCAGATTTCATGCTGGGGGCTGTCAAAACCCTACCAGCATATAAAGGATGATCAGTTCATTAATATGTTAGTAAAACACTGAGAAAACACCCTAATATGGAAAAAAGGACCAGCTAAGAATCTTAGTAACATTAGACAAGTCATCACGTTACCAGAGGTGCCCCCAAAAGAAAGCATAAACTAAGTACAGAAGGAAAGGCAAATATCAAGTGAACACTGCTTGTCAGAAATGAAGTACAGCATGATTGCAGGAGCAAGACTTAACACTTACAATCCTTGCAATCAAGATAACTGCAAATTAACAGACAGCATAGGGACATTTTGGATGCTGCTGTAAGCCCCTGCCTTTCCTTCACAAGTTGCTTATTCTGTTTCTCTCCACCACCCACTTAAGGGAAGATCCAGCATGCGAAGTGTTACAGGTGCATGTTAAAACCAGAACATCATCTTGCAGCTGATAAAGTGATGAACCTGTGCAAAGAATAACCACTGAGTTACAGCTCTGGGATATATTAAAACTTGCTGATATTCCATCTAACAGTGTCTGGGACTTTTTCAAACTCTCATCTTAGATGGTCACAGAACGCAATGACTCAGCAGCCTATTAAATGTGCTTGACCATGTCAGATGCATGAGAGAGGAATTTCAAAAGCCACCCTTACAAACTATGCCTTGTGTGTGCACAGCTGAAGGAGACAGGAAGTTGCAGTGTGTCATGCAGGAAAAGAACTTGAACGATGACAGACTGGAGAATGTAAGACTAGATAGTCTTTTGAGTAATTAAGCAGGAGAATGTTGCAACCATGTGCAAAATTATTGGCAGTTGAGATGGAAAGAAATCAGCCACATCAAGTCCGTTCTGAGCGTATAACAACTATACAGCACATTATGCCCTTTATTCACATAAGGCCTTATTTTGATAAGGACACAGTTATTATTCCTGTGTTTAACAGGGATTATAAACCAGATGGTAAATTTTGGCTTTAAAAATCTGGCACCATAACAATGAAGGATATCAACCAAAGAGAAAATGAAGCCCGGTGCTTCTCATGTGAATTTCACATCTGCATAGTGCCTGCATGGCCACAAGAGACCACTGGATAGGTGCAAGATTTTATGTGGGAGGCCATTTTTCCCACCATTCCCCCCCTCTTTCTCTGCAGCTTCTGTCTGGTGATGTGGAGGGGTGGTGTGCACTTTTAGTGTAAGTACCAGACATTCCAAGCTACAGGGCCTTTGTCTAAGTTGCAAGGCATGGTGATTACTGCTTTGAAGCTGCCTAAGAAACAGAACTGAAATCAAATGTGCCAATCATTCCTTCTAACTTCTGATACTGATTAGGCACCACTATAACAGTTTTAGTTCACAGTAACAATTCTGTTTGCACTCCCCCCCTTATTAGTTATATAATCCCTCCTGCATGCATTTTACAGTTGGGCAGTAACTTAACCCAAAATCTTTTACAGGGCTACAGAAACTCTGCAAAAGACAACCTTTCCTGCCAATCAAATACTGGTTAGAAAGGTGAGCCCTCTTTATTCAGTGGTGCGTTTGTTTACCGGAGAGAAAGAAAAAGATCTCATTGAGTTAAAACTACAGCCACAGAGAAAAGCTCTCTGGATTAATTAAAATGTATTTTAAAAGACACTCACCAACCTCCAATTTCAGTTACAGCATATATGTATTCTATTTTGACGCTTATACCTTGCTTTTCCCCCAGTAGGGACATAATCCATTTTACAAGATCATTTACCTTCTGTTTTACCCTCACAAAAACCCTGTGAGTTGGTTGGGCTGAGAGTGTGTGTGACTGGCCCAAGGTCACCCAACAAGCTGTCAAGGCAGTGTGGAGTTATGAACCTGGGTCTCCCAGATGCTAGTCTGACACTCGAGCCACTACACCACACGTTCTCTCCTTGCCATTAGGAAACCTTAGGGGCTAACAGAAGTGAAAGTTAAGCTCTTGTCTGGAAAGTGGCCAGTCCTGCATTCACCTCTGCCCTCCCTCTCTTGCGCCAGACAACCGGTCCCCTGCCGCCCTCCCGGACCCGCTTATTAAGGGACCGAATGAGCAATGCTACAAGGCCAGGAGGGCTCTGGGCGAAGGAACGCGGCAACCCACAGGAAACCCCCCCCCCGCCGCCGCCGCCGCCACGCCCCAGAGTCCGCCTTTCGCCCATTGGGAGACCGGTGGCCCCCTGAAAACGGCGGGTTTATGTCCCCCCCCACCCCCCGGTGTAGAAGACGGACCCCCACCCGCCATGCAGCTGATCCCTCGCCATGAGGCCGGAGCCGCAGAACGGCAGGAGCGCCTGCTCGCCTCGGCCCTTCGACCGCCGAACCACCTTCGGGAGCGACTTTCCGACCGAGCCTCTGACGGCCCCGCCCCCCCCCGGGGCAGTGGGGGGCGGGGGTTGTTGGTGGGGCTGCTGCTCTCTGCCTAGCGCCTACGGTTCGCGCCACGGGCCTCCCCCGCTCGCCCTGAGCGAAGTACGAAGTGCCGCGCGGCTCACCTCATGACCACCCGCTTGCCCTTCACGTCCACCTTGTCCAGGGTGAGCTTGTTGGAGAGAGACATGGCGATGGATGGCGGCGCGGAAGGGGCGGCGGGCAGCTCTCTCCGGGGCAGCAGCAGCAGCCGAAAGGGGAAAGAGCGAGCGACGCGGCGTCCCGGGGTCACCTTCGGATGCTCGGCGCCCGCCTCCGGCCGCGCGCTCATTGGCCGGGCGTGACGCAGGGCCTCCTCTGATTGCCCGCTCACGCCTGTCCGTCACGCAGGGTGCTGAGGCCCATCCTTTTGCCCGGCGCCGCCTGAGGGACATTCCCACGAACCCGTGGAGTCGGGTTAGAGGGGCCTGCCTGCCTGCTTGGGGTCCCCGGAATGGCGGAGGGAGGGGGCGGGAGGGGAGTGAGAGAGAGCCCAGCAGAGCGGGAGGGGGCGGGACTGTGGTGATCGGTGCCCCCGGAGCGCCGCCTAGGCGGTGAGCGCGCTGGAAACTGGCTAGGAGCCAATCCTGGTTTGCGCGGGAGTTGCAACTGCAAAGACAAAAACGGTCTGCCGGTTTGTTCCAGAAACTGCTCGCGACTTCATTCCCTGGCTGTCAACGTAGGCATAGAGGAATCTTTAAAACCACACACAGGCCGCTGGGCGCAGTCTCAGGCTTTGTTTTACCAACATGGCTACCCTCCTGAATCCAAGGTCTGCGTAAAGTACCTTTTCTCATTAGCAGATAAAGATACCGGCAATTCTAATACCAGAGAATCAGCCTGGAGGATGGCTGTGGTGATGAGGCCATAGAAAACATTGGAATGAAAAGATTTTACTGTTGTCTAATGTGTGTGTGTGCTTAATACACACATGTCAACAAACCTAAAGTTCTTTTATTTATTTATTTTTTTCAAATTTATATCACGCCCATCCCATAAACGGGCTCAGGGCAGGTTACAACAATTTAATAAATACAATAATTTAAAACAGATTAAAACGGTGCACTGCTGCATTTTGTATCAGCTGTAATTTCCGGAGCAACTTCAAGGGTAAGCCTGCATAGAGTGAAGGGCAGTAATCAAGCCTGGAAGTGACCATTGCATGGATCACTAGCTAAGTCCTGAGGGGAGAGATAGGGCTTCAGTAGCCTGATCTGCCTAAGATGGAAAAATGCAGATCTGGCGACTGCAGCAACCTGGGCCTCCATAGATAAGGAGGTATCTAGAGTTACTCCCAGGTTTTTCACCACCGACTGGGCCGGCACCAGGAGGTGTCCCTTCCAGTGTGGGAAGCCTGATGCTCACCTCCAAACCCCCACGACCCAGGTACAGGACCTCCGTCTTCGATGGATTTCACTTCAGTTGACTCTGCCGCAACCATTCAGCCACAGCATCCAAAGCCTCAGCCAGATTTCCAGGAATGGAGGATGGATGGCCATCCATTAACAGATAAAGCTGAGTGTCATCAGCATACTGATGGCAGCCCAGCCCATAACTCCGGACTAATTGGGCGAGGGGGCACATATAGATGTTAAATAACATTGGCGAGAGGATCACCCCCTGCGGCACTCCACCTTCTAGTGGGTACCATGGGGAGACCCTCTCACCCTGTGCCACCCTCTGTCCCCGACCATGGAGGAAGGAGGAAAACCATTTCAAGGGAGTCCCCTGGACTCCTACGTCAGTGGGTCATAAGATCATAATCGACTGTTTCAAACGCTGCCGTTAAATCTAATCATAACAGCAGCGCTGACCTGCCTTGATCCAGATGTCTATGGAGGTCATCTGTAAGGGTGACCAGAGCTGTCTCTGTCCCATGGCCAGGGCGGAGGCCAGACTGGAAATGATCAAGGGTGGAAGCGTCATCCAGGAAAGCCTGGAGCTGTTTGACCACCGCTCTCTCAACCACCTTACCCAGGAACAGTAAATTCGACACTGGGCTGTAGTTGGTCAGGACCATTGGATCCAGTGATGGCTTTTCCAAGAGCGGGCAAACTACCGCCTCCTTTAAAGTATTTTTATTAATTTTCAGTTTTATAACATAACAAAATACATAATGAACATTTGGGTTAACCATTTCAAAATAATTAAACATACATATTAATGTCTCAGGGATGCAAAAGAAGAGTATATTTTCAATATATCTAAGTATTATAATCTATTAAAAATCAATAAAATATTGTTCCCTTTCTTTTGATGTCTTACATAAACGTGATTATTTCTTGATATTTAGTCGGCATATAGTTTAAGGCGTGAAAGGGAGCCATTTGATTAGTGAACTACTATGTATGTTGTTATCTTCAGCAAACCTAATGGAGTCAGCGATTTTATCCATTGCTAATAGCTCCCAGACCTTGGTGAACTACTGCAAAATAGAGATTGGAGAAGGGTCTTTCCAGCTAGTCGCTATTATAATTTTAGCAGCCAATAAAAGCATGGAAATAGGTATTTGTGGTATCTTATTATCTCTCCAGAGCTCTAATAACAATCATTCAGGTGTGTTGTCTATGTCATAATCAGTTCTACATTTCACATAATGAAGTACATTAGACCAAAAATCCGATACCTTTTTACACTCTCACCAACAATGCAAAAATGAAACTCATGCCCCTCCAACATAATGGTGAATGGGAAGCAGAAATATGATGTATTTTTGTTGGTGTTGTGTACCATCTCATTAGAAGTTTATAACTTTGGAGGCGATAAAGATTTAGAGGTAAGAGTTTTGGATGCCCAGATCTTATCCCAATCTCTTTCAGTTAGTTTAGTGGTACAATCAGATTGCCAACTTTTCTGATAACTTAACGTCTGAAGGGAGTGTGAATCAAGCAATATTTTATGTAAAATAGATATTGTATGTCTAATAGATGTTTGATTCTGTTTCATTAGTCTTTCAAATACAGTAATAGGCTGCACTGATTTATTGCCCAGGTTCCAAGATTTAAATAAAGATACTAATTGTGAATATTCAAACCATGGGAGCTGGCATGTAAATTTCTGTTCTAGGGATTCTTTACGGGCTAACTCATTTCCTTGAAGAATATCTATAAATCTTGTAATGTTGTGTAATCTTCATGCCCTAAAAGAATCAGGATTTCTAGCGAGAATAAACCAGGACTGGTGTATAAAAGAAATCATCGGTGAAGGTGTCAGTAGATCTTTACGTTTGTCCCATATTTTGAACATATTAGTTAAAAAAAGGATTGGAACCTATTTCTCTAGGCCTAATATTCGGTTTTTCCCATAATAGTGATTGGAATGGGATGTTAGCGAGATATTGGTTTTCAACTATCTTCCAATCAGTATCCAAAGCAGGATTATAAAATTTTTAAAGGCCCAATAAAGATACTGCCTCATGGTACAGCGTAAGATCTGGAAGAGCTAGACCCCCTTTAATAATAGGTCTTTTTAATGTATTGACACTAATCCTGGGCCTAGAGGAATTCCAAATAAACTTAGTAATAGCCCTCTGTCAACCTTTAAAGTATTCTTTTGGTAGTGCCATTGGTATTGAGCGGATGAGATATAAAAATTTAGGGAAGATAAAGGTTTTAATTATTTGGATCTTCTCCATCCATGAAGAGAATGATGCAGCTTTAAGTAGATGAGGATCTTGAAAGATCTTTTAATGGTAAGAAGTTCACCTTAAGAATGTCTGTTATTTTAATTGGAATTTTAATACCAAGATAAGTCCATGTTTTATTAATCCAGCAAAAACCATATTTTGTTGCAATGTGTTTCTTGTGTGCCTGGGAGAGTTGTATAGGGTAGAGATGGGTTTTAGATGGGTTTGCTTTAAAACCTGAAAGATCTCCAAAAGCTGAAAATAATTTCTGTAAACAAGGTAGTGTGCTTTCAGGGTTCGATAGTGTTAAAACTAGGTTGTCTGCAAATAGACTCAATTTCATGTTCTTAGGCCCAATTTGTATTCCGTGAATTTGAGGGTCATTTCTAATGGCTTGTGCGAAGGGCTCCATGGCCAGAGCAAATAGAAAGGGTGACATAGGGCATCCCTGTCTTGTCCCCCTGGCCAATTGGAATACCTCTGTGTCCACATTATTAATTTGTATGTGCGCTGCAGGTGACGAATACATTACCCTAATAGCCATTTGAAACATGGGGCCAAAATTCATGTGATTCAATAAATTTTCCAAATATGCTGGTTCCACCGAGTCAAACGCTTTTTCCATGTCAACAGACAGGGCAATAGACGCATTAACTTGATTCTTATGGCAGAACTGAATAATATCTATAACTTTTCTGGTGTTGTCTGTGATGTCTCTTCCAGGGATAAACCCTGTTTGATCTGAATCAATATATGAACTTATAATTTTACTAAGTCTATTAGCTAGGGTGGCTGTGAAAATCTTATAGTCGACGTTCAATAGGGAAATCGGGCGATATGAACTTGCATTATGTGGGTCCCTATCTTTTTTTAGAATGACAATGATTTTGGCCAAGTTCCAGGTAGGAGGCAGTGTTCATGATTTCAAAATGTTACACGTGTCAGTTAGCTGAGCTATAAAAAGGGGGTGGTATTTTTTTATAGAATTTGTCGGTAAAGCCGTCTGTTCCTGGGGACTTGTTATTTTTAAGGGACCGAATGGTGTTTGAGATCTCTTGTGTAGTGAAAGTTTCTTCAAGCCAGTTTTTGTGAGCCTCTGAGAGTACTCTTTGTGAGGAATATCGCAGGAGAAAGTCTTTAATATTTGCTGTCTCTGGATTAGTAGAGGAATATAAGGCTTGGTAGTATTTATAAAACGTCTCTTTGATAGCCTTAGTGGTATGGTGCAATAGTCCCTGCCTGTCCCTAATTGCTAAGATAGTGTTTGCTGTTCTTTTCTGCCTTACTTTCCAAGGTAGCAGTCGGAGGGCCCGTGGTCCAGCAAGCCAATACTTCTGTTTGTTATATAAGATTTGTTTTTGGATTGCCGTGGTCTCAAGAGCTGCCCATTTTTTTCTTTTTTCAACTTTTTTCCTTTCCAGAAGTAATTTTCGGTATGTTCCCCCCCCCCATGTTGTTTGAATTTTGTTTCTAATTCCCCTATCTGGGCTAAAATTTCTGATTTTAATCTTGTCTTTTCTCTCTTACAGGTTATCGTCTGCCCTATAATTGTGCCTTGTAAGACAGCTTTAAAGTCGTCCCATATGAGATGTTGGGAAGTTTCATCTGAAGAATTTAATTCAAAATAGTCTTTGATTTATTTTTCAATTTTCTCAGCAATGGAGGG